CCCACTGCCAGCCTTCCAGCTCTGCCAAGCTGTGGCCGAGCCGCAGGGCGGTCCTGCTGGCTGGGCCGCTCTCTGGGGTCCCACTGTCCACCATCCCCATAGCCCAGGCTATGGGCCTTGGAGGCTCTGCTGTTGCTCAGGATCCCACCGCCGGCCTGGCTCGGCCCAGGGCTCCACAGCCGCCTCTGGCTGAGGCTACATCGCCATCTCTCCCAGACCAGACGTGTCCGATGCCATCTGCAGCAGTGTCCTCTGGTCCGGGAGCGTCGGGAACCCTAGGTGTGACCAGCCTGGGGCAGTGAGCGGTGCAAACAGTTGGGGGGCGGATGCAGTTCAGCATCCCCCACCCCCTTAAAATAGTTCCAGTGCCATGTACAGTAGCTGAGCAAACTGCAATTCCCTCTGAGCTTCTCTCCTGGCTGATGTCTCAGTCGCCGTGGTGAGACCAAGGATGGATGGGGCTTCACCCAGTCTCTTCAGCACATGGGGAAAATGGCAGAGTCTCTGCTCACTGGGACCTTTCCGAAGCCCTGTCAGCAAGCGTCCCACTGCTGGCAGCAGCCCAGCCCTGGAGTTAATGCCCGACTGGTCCAATGCGGTGGAGGAATCGAGGCCCAGGCTTTCCCGCAGACACAGTCTGGCCTTCTGGGAGCATGGAGCTGCCCCCCACATCCGGCCCAGGAGCTCGCGGAGGCTGTTGGCGTCCTTGACTGCAGGGGCCTAGTTTTTCAGCTCCTTGGCTCTGTGAAGGAGCTTAATGGCTTCCTACAGCTACCTGAAACGAAAGGCAGCTGGTACTCAGCACCCTCCACGTCTGTGTCTGAGTAAGGCTTACCCCAGGCTGTGGCAGTGTCCCGTTCAGACTCTAGGGGCACTTGGCAGGGCCTCCCTGGTTGTGTGCGGGATAATCGTTCATCGGGCAGAGGGTTACGTCCCTGGATTGTGAAAGGCGCGATGGCTGCCGGCTCTGGCCGAGTCGCAGAGCGACTGAATTTTTAACCGCACTAATGTGCTGGTTGGCACTTCTGGAGGAGGCCTTTTAAGCACTTAGCGATTTTTAATATATAATGTGAACTGTCCGCGGGGCCGAGCCGGCCCTACCATCCGTTCGTTGAGCCGCTGGGGGATCAAGGCTTCTAGCAGCCAGGATACGGCGCACCCCTGTCCCGAATGCCCTGCGCTTATCCCTGTGGGGCTGGCTGGAGAGCCACAGGCAACCCGTGGGTGTCTTGCCACCAACTCCAGAAGGCTATGGGCTTGGAAATTGCTCCCCGCGTGGAGAGTTGGAACGCAGGCTACTCCCTGCCACTTCACCGCCGGATTTGCTCCCAGGGCGGCTCTAGGAAATGTCCCACTATGAGAGGCACACCGACAGTCCGGAAACCCACATTCCCACCCAGGCTCTGTGGCAGACCCTGGGGGAGTGACTTCACCCCTGCGCTCCCCCTCTGATGTGGCTAGTGAGACAGAAAGCTCTGGAGGATGGACTCTCCCACCCCGATCCTGTGAGAGCTGCCAGATTCACACTGTGCCGTTTCCTCCTGCCCCCGCCGGGCTCGCCAACATATGAGAAATGGCGGGTTGGTTAGTGCTGCGCTAGCACCGTCCTTTCGGCAGGGGGGTGCACTGGAAGAAGCAAGCCCTCCCCTAGCGCACCTCTCTGGCGCCCTCCTAGGCCTCGGTGGGGTTCTACCCGCCGGGTTTTCTGGCCATTTCGAGGCGGCATCATCGCCGCACCCAAGCACGTCGGGTAGATTTTTCAGTGAATTCAGCCAGATCCACCTGGGGCTGGAGTTGGAACCCAAGTGTCTAAGCCTCAGTGGTACAACCCACACGGCCTGTGCCGCAGAACTGTGCTCCTGCAGGGGGAAGGGAGCAGCCTGTAGCTGGGGGCTCGGTGTGGATACGCACACACAGAGCAGGGCAGTGCAACCCAGCCAGAACCTGGAACCAGCCAGGCTGGGGGCATGGCTGTTGTCAGCCTCACTCAAGCAGCCGTTGCTGAGGCTGTCGAGGAAGATGTCTGCAGGCCTTTGGGCAAGGTGTGGGAGGGATCTTGCTCCATGCTCCCGGAAGGGGCGGGGCCTCGGGCAGAAAGGGTGGGGCCTGTGCAGCTAGTCCTGAGCATCACCTGCAGTGCACCATGCTGGCCCCCAGGCAGTCCTTAGAGTGGGTGGCGTGGTGCCCCAGTGGCAATTTAAAGGTCCTGGGGTTCTGGGAGCCCCTTGGAGTCATCGGGCCCTGGGGCAATTTCCCCCTGTTCCCCCAAGCCAGCGGCTTCCTTCAGCCAAAACACTGCACAAAACAAAGGACCTGCTTGGAAAGTTGAACTGTAGGAGTGAAGGGACTTGCGCGCTCTCTGGCTTGAACCGCTGCTTGTAGCCACCGTCAGCGGCAGAGGCTTGGACCAAACACTGCTGAGATGCCCACGCCCATAGCTACAGTTAATGTGGCTTCACCCTGTTACTAAATACAACCCTGGGAAAAATCTGGTGGTGGCAGACGGTGACACGGAGCCCAGCGTCGCACTCTGCTCCCTGTGAGTTCAGAGCGTGCATAGATAGCCCTCTATCCTGTGGGCGCCTGAATGCTAGTGACAGACAAGAGGCTGCACCCGCTACAGAAACCCCAGCCTTGGCCGACATGGTGTTAAGGTACCGTCAGGACAGCTGGCTCGCGGGTCTTGCCAGGGCGGCAACTTTCCGGTGCGTGGACAAGTCAGTGATTCCAGTGGACTCGTGATAAAGGCGATTGTGGTGGGATGCCCATCGCAGCCAGAGGAGACAGGCAGAACTTCATCTGGGAAGAACGGCGCAGCCCCGCTCATGCCATGTCCAGGCTCAGCGGGCCGGGTGGGTGCCGGGTGTCAGCAAGGACCCGGAGGACAGAATGTGCCTATGTCTCCGAACCTCCCCTCGCCCATGCTGGGGGGTGAGAAGGGGTTTGGTTAATATACTGGTTTGGATACCAAAGCAGAGACCCCCCACCCCAGCCCAGACTGTGAGTGCATTTTGCCTACTTGTGTCCTGGGTAGGCCAAATTCCTCCAGCCACTGCTAGCAAGTGCCGCTACCTACACGCCGCAGATTGCCACGGCTCTCGATCAAAATTCCAGTCTTGAAATCAGGGACTACGGGTAGGCTCACGCGTCAGACCCAAATAGTGTCTCTTCAGCCTCCGCCAAGAGACGGAAACCTGGCAGAAAACAAAGACCTCAAAAAAAAGCACAGAGAGACTTTCTGTCAGTGACAGGCGTCTGTGTTCTGAATTGTCCTTTCATCCTGATTTATCTTCGCCAGACACCGTGAGGATGGCCGGCGCAATAAAAATGTTGTCCTTTCCCGTCTGCGTCTCCATCCATCTCTCCCCCCGTGTCTGAGTAATCCAGCACAGACATTCACAAGAGCAGCTGGCATTTTGCTAATCGCAGAATGGCTCTTTTCCCCCTTGAAAAATAATTTTTTTACAAGAACTTTTATTGTTGTCCCCCTTGAAATGTCCCTGGATTGAGAGTGATTTTGGAAGAATGGAGGGATGGCTGGGCTGGTTGGTTGATACCATCACCATTTATCAAGTGGCTTTCGTCTAGAAGCAACAGCGATGGATGTGACTTGAGGGGAACAGAATCTAATGGACGTATTTAAGACTTTTCTATTGTGTTGCAAGTTTTCCCTGGTTCTAACATGATTTCCCTTGTTGGGTTCAATTCTGCCCCCATTCATACTGAACTGGATGCTACTGCCAGAAGCGACTGGCTCTGCATGAGTAAGGATCAGACCATATAGCTTTCCAAAGACAGCACCTCTGAGTGCAGCGAGGTCTGCTTGAGCAGTGTCACGGGGCTGGGGGCTGGCCATTAACAGCGGGTTACCTGTGCGTCGTTTATGGCTGTTCTTTTTATGGACCAGTGCCTCTTTGGATGGTACATTTGCTCACACCAAAAACCATCCCTAGCAGACCACTCCCTTAGAGTTTCTAATGCTGCTTGTTCCTGGACAGCTTGGCCCAGGGCCTGACTTCCCTGGAGGGTGAAGCTTTTAAATAACGTGGAAGCTATTTTTCGTCCTGCTGTAGATCCTCCCATTATATCTTGTTTCAGCCTGGGTTTCTCATGAATTTGAACGGGGCCCCATCTCGGCGTGTCCAACACATCTAAGCACGTCTCATGTTCTTCATGCAGCCCTAGCCAGAAGGGGTTCCCTGACCCCTAAGCCTTCTGAGTTTTCTCCAAGTGCCCGGAGTTGTCCACCCTCTGGAATCCCCTAGGGAGGTTCTTCTGTGAAGGCCCCGCAGCTGCAGAGAGCTGCTCGCCCCGGTTTTCACCTACAGAGGGGCACTGAGATTCGTTCTCCTTCTGTCGGCGTACGTAGGGTGGGCGTTTTTGGGGGCAGCAGCAGCTCCCTGGCACCACCCATGCGAGTGTTTTGCCTTGCGGGGTCTGTGCACCCTGCAATGTGGTGCAGCCCCGCCGACCCAGCCCCAGCTGTGCTTCTTGGAGCGCGCTAGCCCAAAGCTGGCTTGGGTAAGAATAGCAGCCTGGACAATTCCCCCGCCCAGCCCCGTTCACCCTAGGGATACGCACACACTCGCTGCCCAGGCTGCTACTGCCCTTGTCTCTTGAGCGGGCTGAGGGCAAAGCTAGTTCGGGTGTGCCTGCCAGATCGCAGTGTAGACATCCCCTGACGGCAGGGAAAGCTGCCGGCTCCCAGCCTCTGACCCACATCTCCCCTGAAGTCAACGGGGAGGCTGCCTGCAGGGATCCGAGAGCAGGCTCTGGCCTTGAAGGGCACCCCAGGGAGAAGTGGGATCCCGGGGGGGAGAAAAGAGGGGCTCTTACCCTGCTATTTGTAAGGGCCAGGCTTCACGTAGACTGGGCGTGGCACTTTGGTGTCCATGTGCACGGCCGGAGGGCTGTCTTCACCTAAGCCCGACAGGCACCGGTTCCGTTGACGGGGGAAAGGCCATGCATGGCTTTTAATAGCAGATCATCTGTCTCTATAGGTCCCAACTCCATGGATGCGCCAGCCCCGGAGCACCCATCAGTAGCCCTGCCGGTCAGCTCCTCCCTACACCTCCCGTCCACCGTCGATCAGCTGCTCAGGCATGAGGAGGTACTGGGGGGGTGGAGAGGGCAGAGCGAGGGAGGGGCAGAATGTGGTGGGGTGGGGGCGGGGTCTGAGGCACAGTGGGGGGGCATGTCAAGCACCCCCCAGGGAAGGAGGAAACCAGCCCTTATGTCTATCCCTGACCCTGGGAGTAGCCAGCGAGCGCTGCAGTTCCCCCTCTTTTTATCTGCATGCACGAGTTCATCTGTACGTTCTGCTTGGGTGACTCGGAAGTGCTGAGGCCATCCCGTGTGTTTAGTGGAGTCCTGCAGCACCGATGGATGGTTTGTTTGCCCTGGGATCCTGCTGCCATGGGCACTGCGAGGCGGGCTCATGCCGAATGGTCAGGAACGGGTCGTGTGGCAGACACGGCAACACTCTGCGATGTCTTTGGGGGGCCTTACCGTGTTCCTGGGGGCCAGGCTTGGCATGTCGTTCCATGGGGGTGGATGAGCACAGCTCCTCTGTGGCGAGCGATGGGGCAAATTCACTCCGCTTGTAACACCTCCAGGGACACGCAGCCAGCTGGCCAGGCTCACCTCTCCTGGGTAGAACCGGATTCGCCCAAGAGCAACAGCCAAAGAAAGGACTTTTGGACAAATAGCCTGAGTTGATACTGGCACAGGGCCTTGATTCCAGCCCAGCAAAGGGGCAGGTGCCCCTGCCCCAGGGAGGACCCCAATCCTTAGGGAAGGTTGGAAACCTGGCACTGCCCAGAGCCCTTCTTGGCACTGGAGAGGGCGTGAGCATGGCTGAGGTCCATGTACTGTTTTGAATAGGTTTTCTCCTTCATTCTGAAGAATAAATGGGCTTGCTTGGAATAAACCATGGAGCAAGTTAAAACTAAGTACAACTGTAGCTGCAATTCCAGGCTCTGGTCTTTTGGGCAATCTGACTGGCTGGGGAATTCGCAGGGCGAGAGGGAGAGAGATGTGAGTTCATTAGCGGTCCACAAAGATGAAATACAGACACAATTGCTCTGAGCTGCGCTAGGTAATTCCTCCATTATCCTATAGTTGTTCTAAGCAACCAGTAATCAAATGGCGTCCGTTCCACTTGTGACAGAGTGCCACTAAGAGCTTTTTGCATATTCAATTCAGAAGACATTTTGTAAATAGTCCAAACACCCTATCAATGAAGCCGCTTTGCCGCAAGTGCCTTCCAATTGAAGCACAAATTGTGGCTACTCAAGTGATCCCTTGGCACTACGCACTGTTTGTAGATATTTACATTTGGAAATGAAAATCCTTTCTGGCTACTGTAAAATAGGCAGCTCGGGGGAATTGATAATGGACAAAGTAAACAATGGGATGAAAAGGACGGTTTCTGCACAGTGCAGGAAATAGCCAGGGATGAAGCGGGGTGGGGAGTGAACATGACTGGAATTCATTTTAGGACGGGGAGAAAAAGTGCAAATGAGAAAAATGCGCCTATTGTGGTTAAGCCCGAGTGTTTCCAGCTGGAAGTCATCAGCACAGAATTGCATCTCCCTTGCAAATAATCCGGATGCTATTTGCTTTCACTTTAGCGACGGGCGCATCTTCTCAGCCCTGGAAAATCGTTTCTGGGTTTGGATACCTGCTCTGAACTGGAACTGAGCCAGGAACCCCAGTTCCCGTTGCTTTCCTCCGGCAGGTCTCCCCCAAGGCACCGGCATGGCTAGCAAAATGGCGTGAGGGGACTGCTACAGCCGGTACGTGACACCGTCAGAAAATCGTGACGGCAAACAAACCGTAGCTCTTAGGGGCTTGCGGTCTTCCTGGAGTGTTTGCGGCATGTGTAAAGCCCGACCGAAGCTTGTGTCTAATATCGATGAACACTCCGCCTGCAGTGGCATGACGACAGTGGACAACGTGTGTCCAAGACAGAGCAGTGTCTGGGACCAAGTTTTTCTGGGTCTATGAAAACCAAAGCAAGCTGGGAGCTGAATGGCCTGCAGGCCACCTGATGGCCTCATGTCACTAAAGCTGATCTGTTTGGAGCAACATGAGAGCAGATGCTTAAGGCTGATGCATAGGGGATCGATCAAGGTCTAGGAGAAGCCACTTGGATAAAGACAGTGATCCAGCCTGAGTTTTAATCTTCTTTTCTGGCGGGATCTGTGACTCCTGGGGCATAACCCTTCACCACCACCACCTACTCACACATGTTGAGCCCTAGTGAACGGAGCAGGTTGGGAAATGGCCGTTTATTGTTTGTGAAAAAGTTTTGTGTGTTGTTTTTAAAGAAACGCCTTTACATTTTTTGGCAGGGGGTTTTCTATGAAAAATGGCAAAATTAAATATCTGTTTTGTTTTGAAAACCATTATCAGTACAAATGTTGGGCCTGGGTTATTTTGATGGAAACATCCATTGGACCCAAACCAAAAGAGTTTGTGCAAAGGGTCATTTTTAGCTTGGGTTGAAAAGATGATTCCACCAAAACGGTATTGCTCAAAAAAACCCTTAGGGGGTTCACATCATTGATGGACAATTTGCAGCACTTCCGGGAGTGAAGTAGATGCTTAAAAAGTGTGAATGCTTCCCGGCATCAGGCCTTGTCTACAAAGAGACAGGGAGGGAGTGGAGACACACCAGGAAGGACTATTTAGAAAAGCTGGACATGCACAAATCCATGGGGCTGGATCTAATGCGTCCAGAACTTGTGGTGATCAGGGGAGATCCTGGATGATGGGAAAAGGCAAATGTCGTGCCCATCTTTTAAAAAGGAAAGAAGGACGATCCAGGGAGCTGCAGGCCGGCCGGCCTCACTTCAGTCCCTGGAAAAATCAGGGAAGGGATCCTCAAGGAATCCATTTGGAAGCACTTGGAGGAGAGGAAAGTGATCAGGAATAGCCAGCATGGATTCACCAGGAGCAAGTTGTGCCTGACCACCCTGACTGCCTTCTCGGATGAGGTGACTGGCTCTATGGACATGGGAAGGCCGTGGACGTGATATACTTTGACTTTAGCAAAGCTTTTGATACGGTCTCTCAAAAGATTCATGTGAGAGTGCCCTGGGGAGAAGGAGTAACTCTTCAGCCAGCTCATTGCGGTAGTCCTGTACTATGCTGTGTGTGTGGACTAAAAGTTTGTTGGCCAAATAAACTATGGTCTTGTACTCCAGGACAGTTAGCACAATAGGAAGTATCAATCCTAATGCATAAAATAGATGGGATTTGGTCTTCTCGGGGGACTCCGTCAGTGCCACCATGGGCAAGTGTAGACGTACCCGTAGGTGCTACCATACTGTTTGTTGTTTTTTAAGTTTTTCCTGTGTAACTCTGTTATCCTTAGTTTGCAGAGCAGAGGATCTGGCCGATTCATTGTCTCCGAGATGCCTTTGGTTTTAATGTGTAGTGGGACTTGTACGTTAGAAAGCCACATTTCTTAGGCCGTGTGCGGCATGGGCTCATAGTTGCACGTTGAACTAGTTTGGAGGGAAGGATGGAGAAATAATTTCTTTTTACTACAAACTGCTTCTTTGAAGGGTGTAGCGCATCGCAGACAAGATGAGAGAATAGTCGTGAACGAGTCTCCAGCATCGCCCAGGAGCTGGTTTAGATGCCCTGCAGCTGAGCCACTAACTAGAGGTAGCAGCACATTTGAAGCTTACTAAGCGGTAATACTGTACAGTTAGCTGTTGTCACAATTTGTGAAGTGTACCAGTCTGCTTGCTTGTAAAAGAACCCTCCCGTGTGAATTGACAAACTCTGCTCCCCATCGGAAGGTGTGGTTTTAAACTAAGCCCCAGCCGGATATCTCTACTGAGATCCACCTTGTCACGTTGTATGGAGCGTTTGCACCAAGACCCACGCTGAGCGTGGTCCAGGGTCCCAAAGAGCTAGACAAAACTGCATGTGAACTGGGTTTTTTTTCACCAACAGCAAACGCAGATGGAGCCAAACCTTGGGTTAAGTTTGGTCGCGCCTCGAAAACGGCTTGTTTCAGCATTCCCACGATGAAATGTTGGGGGGTTTATTTCAGAAAGATGTTCCACTTCAGATGAGGGGGGGGAACCTTGCAGGTCCCAACCCAGCCAGTGTCTTGATTACAAGACAAACCCTCCTCGCTTCATGACCTATCCAGGAAATAGTTTCCATTCTTATTGGTGCTTTGGTTTAGTGCCTGGCTGGCCCAGCCTTGCTCCATTGCGCTCAGAACCGTACAGCCCCATGACGTGGTTCTTGCCCCATGAGTTGACAGTTTGGACTGGCAGGTAGATGGACTAGAGCGCCTAAGAGTTCTTTGGTTTCTAGGTGTCTGTGGGCCCACGGCTGGATGCCTTGCCCATCACAAAACCCGGCTGCAGTCAGGCTCCCCTGGTGTCTCATGCACTGTAGCTTCATCTCCATCCAGGCCCGGTGTGTGGGAACCGTGGCCGCTTGATCTGGGACACGTTGTGGAAGTGTATAGGACCACACCAAGGGCAAGTATGGAGAACGGAACCACTGATGCCCCAGGGCGTTTGGGCATGCCAGGGATGGAGGGCTGTACCTCCAGGGCATGGTTTGATTCCATTTGTAAAAGCCATTTTACACTGCTCTGGCACCTCTCTGCTTTCAGCATGAGTCACTGCAGCCAGGAGCCAGGAGTCAAAGCTTTGTTTGGGGACCATCAGCCGCTTTCCAATGTCCAGGAAGCAGAAATCCTGAGGAGTCCCAGCTCTGCTTCTCTTGGGCTGTGTGGGGCTCCCAAACTCGGAGTACGACTGCGTACAGCCCAGGTTGCACCAGGAATAGCTGATGGAGTCTAGTCTTGTCAGCTAATGGGCATAATTTGTTTTGCTCCTTAATGAGTCTGACACATGCCTTCAGAGACCAACCTCTTGCAAAACTTTCCCTCTGAAGCGCTCCGATGGTGAGTCATTGGCAACGCTCGGGGGAGAGGCAATTTTAGCATCGGGCTATATTTAGAGAGTGCTTTTATCTAAAGGTTAGCTATAGTGGGCATGGTTTCAAAGGAGACATAAGTGGCAGGCTTGAACCGACGAGCGGCTTTGGGGACCTCTCCCCCAGGTGGTTGTC